CCGAGGCGGAGCGGTGGCTGTGCTCGTGGGTTTCTCATATGGATCCGGTAGAGGGAATGTAGATGGGCGAGTCCCTATCTTCTTCCTTAACCACCAGATCCGGCGCCCGCTCTTGGGGTTTCGGAAGCCCGCCTGTCTTTCTCCGAGGAGATTGATACGGAGGGCGTCGAAGAGCTCGCCAGTTGCACAAGCATCAGTTACACAAGCATATTATGCTAGCCATGGACGCTTCCCTCACTGGTTGAGGAGCGGTCATGAGCGGCCGCTCAGCCCGCAGTCTGTGGAGCAGCCGTCATCTCACGTGGGACTTCAACTGCCTGGAGATGCTGGCCGTGTTTCTAGCAAAGTTGAAACACATTCTCCCGGACCTAAGAGGTCACCATGTGTCGGTGCGCACCGGCGACACAGCGGCGGTCTCTTATATCAACCACCAGGGAGGTCTGCGTTCGCGCCCCCTACATGTTTCCTCCTTGGTGCGCTGAGGCCTCTGGCCAGAGAAGCTTATGTTAAGCGGTGGATCAGGATGCTATTCCAAAGCCTCGAGTCCTCTGTTCTCCCCTCTCTTTTGGGGGTCAAGACTCACTCCTTCTGAAGTTGGCCTTTGGGCGGGATGTCCCCGCCTACTTTGTCAGGTGCCTACCTGCATTCTGCGCCACTCCTGGCTCCTTCTCTCGCTTTAGCTGTGCTCTTCCACACTAGGCAGGGACTTGTAAGTCTGGCGGCGTGGGCATTCTCGTTCCTGAAGCGTTTCGACGCAGCTCGAGTTCCTGAAGGGGAACGTCTCAGGTTACGCATGTAACCATGGTTCCCCGAAGGGAACGAGACGCTGCGTCTCGGTGCCATACTTCCGGCATCCCTGCAAGTGCTTGCTTCATTCCTAGAAGCTGACGCTGGTTCCACCGCACATGCTTAAGCTTCCTGGTCGTTATGTCACCCCGCCCGTGACATCTCGCCCTTTCATTGGACTGATTACACATGTGATTCAGAGCGTGGTCACGCTGAAGGCGTTCCCGAAGCGTTTCGACGCAGCTCGAGTTCCTGAAGGGGAACGTGATCTTTCTCTTCCTCTCTATCTCTTAACTGTATTTATTCTTAACTGTAGTAATAACTGTATTTATCATTTTGTTGATTTTTGCTGTTTTCGTGCCGTTTTTAAAAGGTTTAAAACGCGTGACACCTTCGTTCTGCTTGGTGTTGCTGTCACTGATCGTTTCATCCTCAAGTCTTAAAGACATGTGTAATAGTTACATACTCAAGATATTGAATTGAACTGAAATTTTAAGTGCTGTTTTTGACCAAAAATAAATAAATCTCTGCGTACCCTCAGATAAAATCCTGCAGGCACCTCTGGTCTGAGAAATTCAGCTGATCATCAGAGGGAATGTAGATGGGCGAGTCCCTATCTTCTTCCTTAACCACCAGATCCGGCGCCCGCTCTTGGGGTTTCGGAAGCCCGCCTGTCTTTCTCCGAGGAGATTGATACGGAGGGCGTCGAAGAGCTCGCCAGTTGCACAAGCATCAGTTACACAAGCATATTATGCTAGCCATGGACGCTTCCCTCACTGGTTGAGGAGCGGTCATGAGCGGCCGCTCAGCCCGCGGTCTGTGGAGCAGCCGTCATCTCACGTGGGACTTCAACTGCCTGGAGATGCTGGCCGTGTTTCTAGCAAAGTTGAAACACATTCTCCCGGACCTAAGAGGTCACCATGTGTCGGTGCGCACCGGCGACACAGCGGCGGTCTCTTATATCAACCACCAGGGAGGTCTGCGTTCGCGCCCCCTACATGTTTCCTCCTTGGTGCGCTGAGGCCTCTGGCCAGAGAAGCTTATGTTAAGCGGTGGATCAGGATGCTATTCCAAAGCCTCGAGTCCTCTGTTCTCCCCTCTCTTTTGGGGGTCAAGACTCACTCCTTCTGAAGTTGGCCTTTGGGCGGGATGTCCCCGCCTACTTTGTCAGGTGCCTACCTGCATTCTGCGCCACTCCTGGCTCCTTCTCTCGCTTTAGCTGTGCTCTTCCACACTAGGCAGGGACTTGTAAGTCTGGCGGCGTGGGCATTCTCGTTCCTGAAGCGTTTCGACGCAGCTCGAGTTCCTGAAGGGGAACGTCTCAGGTTACGCATGTAACCATGGTTCCCCGAAGGGAACGAGACGCTGCGTCTCGGTGCCATACTTCCGGCATCCCTGCAAGTGCTTGCTTCATTCCTAGAAGCTGACGCTGGTTCCACCGCACATGCTTAAGCTTCCTGGTCGTTATGTCACCCCGCCCGTGACATCTCGCCCTTTCATTGGACTGATTACACATGTGATTCAGAGCGTGGTCACGCTGAAGGCGTTCCCGAAGCGTGTTGACGCAGCATCTCGTTCCCTTCGGGGAACCATGGTTACATGCGTAACCTGAGATGGTTTAAGCTGAAAATATCAATTCTTTCTCTCTTGAAAACAGTAATTCCTTCAATACTTTCAAAAATGCACACAATAACTATTTAAATAATGCACTATGATTCTTGTGATAAATTATGTTTTTTTCCCCCTATGTTACCATCATTAGATCTGTGTTTAAATGTAGGACTCTTGTCATAGCTTTAAACATGCTTTACTGTTTGAGCTACAGGAAATAATTATGACTAAATATATGTTTATGACTGTTTATGGGTGTGTGGGTGTGTCTCTGTATGAAAACGTGTATTTTCCAGGAATGGGCCCTGTACATATGAATGAAGTTAAATGTTCTGGCTTTGAGAAGTCCGTCACTGAGTGCCCCTTCAGTATGGACAAAGACTCTGAAGGCTGCAGTCATGAGGAAGACGCAGGCGTGAGGTGCAATGTTCCTGCCATGGGCTTTCAACAGAGGGTAAGAACTCACTGTTTTATGTGTCTGTGGTACCTTTAAGTGACTGAATATTGAAATGTATTTTTACTGTCATAGCATAACATGGCCACTGTGCTCTTTATTATTGCAGCTGCGTTTGAGTGGAGGTCGTAACCCCTTCGAAGGCCGTGTGGAGGTTCTAATGGAGCGCAACGGTTCTCTGGTGTGGGGGACTGTGTGTGGTGAGGGCTGGGGCACAATGGAGGCCATGGTGGTCTGCAGACAGCTAGGCCTGGGTTTCGCAAGCCATGCTTTCCAGGTATGTTTACTCTCAATACCCCACCAGAAATGTATGTTTAAGTCTCACATTAAGGACTGTCCCACTGTGCTTAACCCTTGGCTACAAGAGTTACAATAACCAAGATAATCAGGGTTTAGGATGACCCAGGGTTAACAGTTTCAAGTGTGATCCTTTTACACTGCTGACACCTCAACAGACTGTTGGTAAGATATGTCTATCCCTCTCATCAGGTCATCCCTTGATCTTAGTAAATTGGATGTTGGCCCTTTGAAGAAATTCATGGTATTCCAACTTCACATTACTATTCAGCTCTTTTTGTATAAGCAGGTATGGTGGAAGACTGCTGTTAGTGAAATCAAAGCTCTGTGTGGGCTGAAAGTTTTGCAAAAGCTTGAGTAATCTCTACTTGTAAAGTAGCATTATAAAAACCAGATCATATCAGTTCAGTCTTTATTGATCATCTTGTGACAACCTGAATCCTGTGGTGCCCATTAACTATTCCTGCTGGTTGTAAATAAGAAATTGCAGCATTCCATTCCTCAGGCACGTTGTCTAGTCTAATGACATAGCATCTGTCAATTCACAGATGGGATTTTGTAAACAGAGCCGACTGGTGTACCTTCGAAAGAATGTCCCCTGATTCTGTTTGTCAAATATGTCCATAAAGAAACAGTTTTTCTGTTTCTCACAGCAGTGCGCTTTCTCAACTGACTTGTACTGCATCCAAGATGAAATTCTTTCTTTTTACAGCTTGGGACAAATGAGTTGCTGCAAGGAAACATATGTACTTGTATATCTGAAGTCTGAAATGAATCCCAGTTCTGTTAGAATGTGATGTGTTTTCACGTTGCGTTGATCTGTTATGCAGAGCTCCGCTTGAAGTCGTCCTGTGAGAATGATGGTTCTGATAGAGAATAACAGTAATTAGTAGAACAACCACCTGTTTAAGACATGTTTGTTTTCCTCCGATTAACCTTCTTAAATACATGCTTTCTGACAGTTATAGATGTCTGTGTTTACGGTTACCAAGAGAAACGGTTACTCCCTTCTGGTTTGACAGTGTTAAAGATAAACAGTTACACCTGGGAAGCATTTAAGAGAGTTATAGACTCCGTTCCAAGAGGAAATTATATCTCTTCATCAAATGGATCTTAAATGGATAATAAGCTAGAACAAAACAGTTGACTCCTGCAGGGTTGGAAAAAAGAAGGAGAGGTCTGCTTTTGAAGATGTTACTGTTGTGTTGACAAGTGATTTACAGCTGGAAAATGGTTACACAATATGGACCGTTTGTGTTTCTTTTAAATAATGAAATAGTTTGATGGGAAACGGATTGGCTCACGACTGTAGGTAACTTAAAGTATAGTAGCAAAGATAACAATTTGTTGCTCTGTATATTAAAGGGTTAGTTCACCTCAAAATGAAAATTAGGCTGCGTTTTAGGCTGCGGTGCGTCTCGTGTCTTTTGAACAGAAGGAATGCAACACCCGCTGAGTACAACGATAGAGCTTGAAAGATCAAAGACCATTTTTAATATAACTCCCGACTGGATTCGTCTGAAAGAAGAAAGTCATATACACCTAGGATGCATGGGGGGTGAGTAAAACGCAGCCTAATTTTCATTTTGGGGCGAACTAACCCTTTAAGTTTAACTATCCTATGGCTACTATTTAGTGTTTTGACTTTTCCACTGATTTGATTGCTAAGCTAGGTCTAGGTTAGAGACCTGCGCTGGACGGATTTTCAGTCAAGATTCTGTCCCGCTCCCGCAGAAATATATCTTATCTGGTCCCGCTCCCGCCCGCGACATTCATGTTTTGTCCCGCTCCCGCCCGCAAAAGCCCGCATAAAAGTAATCTATATAGATTTTTTTCAGTACATCGAAGAAATTTACATGAAATGGTTCTGTAACATCTCCTAAGCTCCACAACATCCCAGCATAAACACTATAACCGATCAAATATTTGTTATTTAGGCTAAGCATCAACATTCACAAAAAACTGTTATTTTTAACAGAAAAGCAAGCATGGGGTGCTGCGTGCATGGTTTGGCATGGCAGAATGCAAGCAGCGCACTTCCTTTATTATCACTAAAAGCTGACATCACAGTTAATCGCGATCTCATAAAGCTCTGTTATAACACAATAAATATATGCACAATTAATCTTTCACAGTGTCTACACTTCGTGTGTTAAAATGAGAGGATTCGTGAGCAATGAGCATGCAATTTCAGCACTGCGGTGAGTAGATTCTAACTTAATCACCTCTGATTGGCCATTGCGTTCCGGAAATCAACAGCTGAGTCTGTGATTGGCTACATTGCGCAACCCTCTAAACACGTGTTATAAATAGAAACTATAGCTTGCGCATGTCAATCATTTTAATGTTAATATTAGTTGTTCTTTTTGCTTTGCTTTTGTGCAACAGATAAATAACAATTTATATGTTTTAGACACTTTGTTTAGATCATTTCTATTTTGCGGGAGTCCCGCGAATCATTTTATTCTCCCGCATCCCGCACACACACGAGTCTCTTCCCGCCCGCACCCGCACTCGCCCATGCCCATCAAGAGTTGTCCCGCGCCGCACTCTGTTGCGTCGAGTGCAGGTCTCTAGTCTAGGGTGCTGAGGTCTTTTCTCCACTAGAACAAAGAAGTCCCTTAGGTTTTGATAGGGCGACATGAAATAGCACCATCTTGTGGTTATTTTACATTTTACTCTTGTGTTTACTCTTTCTCTGTTGACATTTTCCCTCAGTTTTGTTTTTTAACATCTGTTCTTTCATAAGGATGCATTCAGTGTATGCATTTTTTGTCTTATAACGACACCTAGTGATGTGAATGTAGTATCATGAAAAAGCTAACGTTTTCAGTTACATACAGATACCACTTGATAAATGCTCTATTCACTGAATTAGATTTTATTTTTAGATTTTCAGTTTTCATTTGAATTTCAATTTGTTTTTTGTCATTTTGAAATGTGCCGTTGTCTACTGTATAATATGTGCATAATATGGGTAATTGCATGTTTCTATTTATGTATTTCCGTTAGTCGCCAAGGCAACATTTATTAGTTTTTTTTTAGGTTTTTTAAAGTTTAAAATCCTTTAAAATTATTTATATTTCAGCTTTATTTCCATCAATGAAAGCAATTTTTAATAGTTGTAATTTTAGATTTAATTAACAATACCAACACTGTACTGAGATAACGCAAGTATTATATACATCTTAGGTACGCCTCATACATGTCTGCTCCCATGATGCAACTTGCTTCATGTAAAATAAAACAGCTTTTACTAGGCTATGATGATATTTGATATTTTTATCATTTGAGTCTACTCATGTGAATATACATTTTTCAAACGTATTTTATGTTTAAAAAAGAATAAGTCTTAAACATATTTCGAATGAGTTAAAATTACTGGGTGCATCTTTAATAATGTAACAATCTGTACAATGATAAATGCTGTCTTTGTATTCAGTGTATTTGCACTTCCTTTAATTCCCCCTGTGGATTGGATGAATGATTTGAGCAGAGGTGTAATTATGTGTTTGTACAGGAGACATGGATCTGGCCTGGTGCAGTGAATGCAGATTCAGTGGTAATGCGTGGGGTGAGGTGTGCAGGAACAGAGATGTCTCTCTCCCACTGTCTGCATCATGGAGAATATCTCAGCTGCCCTAAAGGTGGAGGCCGCTTTGCTGCTGGAGTTTCCTGCTCTGAGAGTGAGATTATTATCATCATATTCAAATCCAGTTATTCTTATATATTTACATTTGTATTAAAGGCAGAGTAAGCGATTTCTGGTAGCCAACCTACTTCTTGCCTTATCGTTCCGCAGACGTTTTCCTCTTTTGTTTTTTTATCCGCCATCTCTATCTTTCTGTCGCTCGGCTCGGCTAATGTCCGTCCCATGCACTGAACGCGCTCTCCTCCACATCACGAGTAGACACGCCCCTTATTGCTGATTGGCTACAAGTTTGTTTTGCTATTCGGCCCGAATCAATTTTCTAAAGTGTTTTTGAAAAATCACATACCCTGCCTTTAATTTATTTTTATGACTTGAACTAATTTGTTTCTGGACAAAACACTGACCTCTAATGGTTACATTGAAAGTAACATGCAAGCCTGTTTGCATTGTATAAACACTAGCACATATATACCCTTTCTGCTCCATTTGTACCAACTAAATTAGGGAAACAAGCTTTTCGGTATGCCATGCCTAGGGATAGATGCAAAGTTTGTTGTCAGTGTGTACTTTTAAATCTTTGATCTGTGAGCTGTTAAAGGAAGAATCAAAATGCATTTTTTTTTATATGTATTGGTATTGTGTTGTTTTGTTATTGTAATACTGTGAGAACTTCTGTGGCTGCTCATCTTGGCCAGGACACTGAAAAAGAGATTTTTAATCTCTGAAAGTTCATTTCCTGGTAAAATAAAGGACAATAAATAATGTAGCTTGTGGTGTAATATGTGTTTAAAACCCATCACTTTCAGATAATATGGAGTTGAAAACCAAGAAGAAACATGCATAAACCATTCTGGACACCATTCGACATCTGTTTTAAAACTTTAGCTATACGTTTGTTTTTTTTATGTTCCCTGCAGCTGCCCCAGATCTAGTGCTCAACCCCCAGTTCGTGGAACAGACCACATACTTAGAGGACCGTCCTATGTTCATGTTACAGTGCGCTTATGAGGAGAACTGCCTGGGCTCCACTTCCAGTTCCACCCCAGGCAACTCCTATCGCCGGCTTCTCCGGTTCTCCTCCCAGATCCACAACAATGGACAATCTGACTTCAAACCCAAAGCCTCCAGAGAGAGCTGGGTTTGGCATGACTGCCACAGGTGAGGGGTCAGATAACTGACAACTGAAATCATACTAATATGATTTCTAAAGGATCATGTGTCACTGAAGACTGGAGTGCATTCAGGCTGCTGAAAATTCAGCATCACGGGAATAAATTACGTTTTGAAGTATATTAAAATAGACAGTATTTAAAACTGTAATGCTATTTTACAGTATTACTGTTTTAACTGTATTTTTGATCAAATAAATGCAGCTTCTGTTGAGCATAAAAGAGTTCATTCAAAAACATAAAATAATCTTACCAACCTCAAATTTTAAAACGGTAGTGTATATTTTTACTTGTAGTTAGATTTATTTTCTTTTTACTGTTTCAGGCACTATCACAGCATGGAAGTATTCACCCACTATGACCTACTTAGCAACAACGGCACCAAGGTGGCAGAGGGACACAAAGCAAGCTTTTGTCTAGAGGACTCAGAATGTGATGAAGGTATGAAAGAATGTGCCTGTTTTTGTAGTCCACAATAGTAAATAGAATTTCACCTCACTTTAACTCTGTGTATTATTGGTATTGAAATTGAATTATTAAATTTACAGTAATGTGATCAACTTTTATGATATGCTCTTTGTATTGTTAACTTTATTAGGAATTGAGAAAAGGTACGAGTGTGCAAACTTTGGTGAGCAAGGGATCACAGTGGGCTGCTGGGATACATACAGACATGATATTGACTGCCAGTGGGTGGACATTACAGATGTTAAACCGGGAGACTACATATTCCAGGTAATTTCCAGGCATTTCCAAAATAGTAGTAATTTTTGTACCAAAGAAATTCTTTTGAATCCTGTTATCCTGGTTCTTGGAAACAGACATTGGGATTTATTGTTTTTACTGACTGTATTCACTCTTTCTGACAGATCGTAATTAACCCCAATTATGAGGTTGCAGAGTCAGATTACACCAATAACATTGTCAAATGCAGATGTCGATATGATGGTCACCGTATATGGATGTATAATTGCCATATAGGTAAACAAACATTTATGAATTATGCCTCTTCACATTGTCTTGTCATGAAAAATGTTTTCACATGCCGTCATTTTGGGCGTTACTAGTCACCTTACTAGTCCCCTCACACAAATATGTATATTTTCTACTAAGTTTAACTACCAAAAAGTGTCTAAATACTACATTTTATAATATAAATTTTATCATTTGAAATTTATCTTTTTTGTTTTATTTGAAAAGTGTGCTTGCTCTTTAAAAATTAAATGTAAATGTAAAATGTACATTACCACTTAAATATTTTGGTACATTTTTTTTATTTTATAAAAATTATTTTTAATTATTTAAAATAATAATAATTTATTTTTATTTTATTCAGCAAGTATGCAGTAAATTGATCAAAAATGACCACGAAAACTTTACTAATGTCAGGAAATATTTCTATTTCAAAGAAATTCTGTTGTATTGAACTTTCCATTTGTCAAAGAATTCTGAAAAAAATTGTTTCCACAAACATATCAAGCAGCAAAGCTGTCTTTAACATTGATAATAATAAGAAATCAATCATATTTGGATCATGTGACACACTGAAGATTGCAGTAATGGCTTCTGAAAATTCAGCTTTTGCCATCACAGGAATAAATTACATATTAAAATATATTTTAAAAAGAGTTATTTTAAATTGTAATAATATTTCACGATATTACTGTTTTTACAGTTAAATGCAGCCTTGGAGATTTCATTCAAAAATGTTCAAATTCTTACTGACACCTTCATAAATTTAAAAGTAAAATAATATATGTTTGTATAATATAGTACCCTGTATAGCTGTGATTCACTGTGATTCTGTCTCTTTTAGGGGGCTCCTTTAGTGCAGAGACAGAAGACACCTTCCCTGGCCTGATCAACAACCAGGTGACCCATAGGTAAAAGAGTGGCCCTGAAGAATATCCAGAAACCACGGCCAACCAGTGAGATTATCAAGTGCCCTGAACCACTACACCTCTCTAGAGGGCCTTTCATCTCAGCAGTAATTCCATGGTACTCTTTCAATTATGCTCAGTGTCACCACATAGCCAGCACAGTCAGTCCTCTACTGTTTTACAGGACTAAACATCACTTTTTCAGTTGAGAACTCAGATTTGAGGCAGGAACTGACTCTGAAAACAGCTCTTTGGCTGAGATTAACAGACTGAAATGCTGTTTTTCCCTCTCACTGCTGAGCCAGAAGCAATTCTGAAACCTCATTCTTTCTTTGTTTGCTGCTGGTGTTGAAGATGAAACTGTGGAGAACTCTCAAGTGAACTCACTTCAGACATGAAAGGAACTCTGGTGCACTTTATTTTCTTTCTTTTTTTTTATTAATTGACAGGACTTGTGGTTTAGGTCTTTTTGTAAGCGTTTTGATAAGGTGAGAGGACTTTCCTCAGATGAGTCTTCTGAAAGAATATTACATAAATCTACAGAATAATAAAGGCATGAAGAGACCTTTTTCTTTTTTTGTGTCATGCATTTCAGATAAATACTTTGGCATTTCGAAAACCAAGCTGATGACGTCTGCTTATAGATATTATTGGCTATTATTCAAGTACCTTATGGGTTTGTAGTGGAAACAACTGATGCATTAGAAATATATTATGAGCCTTACAATATTTTCTATCAATGTCCAATTTCATCAGTATTTTCAGGAATTATGTTGTTACATTATGAATTGCAGTGTAAGAAAACTTAAACCTACCCATTCAGATAAGTGGTTCATAAACACTGGCATCCTAGGAGCAGGTGACCCTGTGCAAACTCTATTAGTTTTGTTTTGGGTTTTTGCCCACCCTGTTCTTGATGTTATTTTGAATTCACTGACGGTGGACAATCATGCATTATTTACTCTATTGAATCTGACTGGAAACATCACAAGCAGTCTGATCCTTTCCAGCTGTTGATGCAAGAGTATTCATAGTATTTCATCATGCAAGTATTAAATAACTTATTTTAAGACAGGGATTTGAGATGCTATTTCATAATTTCTTTGTTTTTTTAATGTGGAAAGTCTTTCATTTGTTGTCTGTCAATGGTGCTAAAATAGTGTTATCCTCTGTTTTTTGAGGGACAGTATCAGCTAATTTTATATTATGCTTACTTGAATGGATGTAAAAATCATGGATGTATGCGATGTATCGTAATAAACATGCATTATTTGGCAAAAAAAAAACATATACATGCCTACAGTTTGGACAAATGAATTATCTTATTTCTTCATATTGCACCCTCTTGTGGTGTATTGCAATATGGCAAACACATTGTAGTAGATGCTATATTCACTTTATTCACTAAAGGGTGCTCTAACAAAATAAAAAGGTGGAGTTTTGGACTCTTCAGTACTGTTTTTGCACCGTATGCAGTATGTATCCACAGAATATAGATATATAGTGCTTGCAACATTTTCTGTTGCATACTGTATAGCCTACTGTTTCATATACTATTTTTTTTAAATTAGTAGACAGCATACAATATACACAGTAAGCAGTACAGTAGTATTTCATTCAGAACAACTCTTTGTAACCAGAAACCTGTGTGTTTTTACTTGTCCACCATATAACACCAATTTATATTTCATACAGAGCAGCCTATGTAAAGATGTGCACTTTGCTGGTTACAAAAACAACAAACTACCAATTTTACAAAAAAAATATAAAGTGGTGTTACACCATGTCTACACCAGACTCAGGTGTGACAAAAGACAACAGAACCCATTCTAAGCAGTGATGCTGTCTACGCTGGATGCAGCACGGCATACTGTCGGGGATTTGTCGTGTTGCGTTGTGCCGCTCGCTTTGAAAAACTTGCATTACAATTTATTTTAAATCATCAGTCAAATTTAGAACGCACTAAACGTACGCACAAATCACATACATCTGATTGGAGGCCTATATCAAAATCTGTATTTGTTTGAACTGGTTTTGAGAACTGCAGACTTTGTTAGAGTGCTAAGGATGAGAGAGAAATGAGGTTGCACGGAAAGCTCTTATGGACATATTTTGGCCGTGTTCAGTGCAAATTTTACTAAGTGTGGGCACGCTCTTCCTCGAGATTGATCCAGAACCACCAACACCTGGAGCTATGTTATGCGCATGCACCTGTTGTGAATCTGGAGGAATTTTTTAAACAGATTTTTATCTGGGGACATAAACATGCAAATTGTATGAAATTATTTATGAATAAGGCCCACTGTCTTCTAAAAACCTGTGCCAAGAAGTTGTGTTATATATAGCCAGTGGCTCGATCCGCGTTGCTTTCATTGTAACAAGCTTTTCAGTTTCTCCTGCTGAACCTCACAGCATGATGCTTCTATCATTGTGCTTGATGGAAACATTTTCTAATGATGGACTTAATTTGGTCTGCACCAAACAAAGAACTTTGCTTTCAAGGAGCTCTGTTTTAGTCTCACTACACCACCAAAAGTTTCTTAAGGTTTCATGTTTTGTCTTAGAATCTCGAAAATTTTCCAAAAGGTTTCATGTTTTGTCTTGAAATCTAGAAAACTTTTGGCATGATTTAATGTTTGCCTCTCCAAGGCTTTCTTCCCAATCTGACAGACTGAAAAGATGGTTATGTCTGGACAGCTTCTCCCACTTCAGCCAAATCCTCTAAAATTCTCACAGTGTTATAATCTGTCATTTTTCTGCCAATTATTCTTGTCCAATTGCTCAGTTTTTGTAGGACAGAAATATCTTGGTGTCAGTTTTTTTTTTTGACTCTACAATGCACACAGAATGTTTGCCTCTCCAAGGCTTTCTTCCCAATCTGACAGGCTGAAAAGATGGTTATGTCTGGACAGCTTCTCCCACTTCAGCCAAATCCTCTAAAATTCTCACAGTGTTATAATCTGTCATTTTTCTGCCAATTATTCTTGTCCAATTGCTCAGTTTTTGTAGGACAGAAATATCTTGGTGTCAGTTTTTTTTTTTTGACTCTACAATGCACACAGGAACATTCAATCCTTTGTTCCCAAACTTTTTATATCCATTCGGAACTCTTTCTTTCAAATCATCATGACAAAACGACTGATCTGGTTTGTTTTTCACACCTCACAAAAGAACAAAAGAGGCCATGTTTGCTGTTATGAGATGGATGAGTTGATGAAAGAAGAACACCATATCTCTTACAGAGCTGAAACAATCAAGTACCACACAGAAAAAAGAGCAAGTCAAATTCAAACCACTCAGAAAAAGCTGCATGCCAGCTCTGTGCAAGATAGATGATGGCCAGACAGACTAAAAATCAATATTAGTTTTGATGAAGTGTCAGCTCGAGGCTTTGGTCTCTAAGTAGGGAGAAAAAAAAACTCAGAACGTGCAGAAACTTGGAATTTGTGCAGTGTAAGAAGCCAGGCTTTGTCAAACTCAGTGTTATGCTTCTCTGTCTAGTGATTTCACAAGTTTGAAAACCTCTCAATGTGTTCATAAATCAGAAGAACATCTCTTTGTGTGCTCACTCGTCTCAAGGAACATTTGTTCTTATATTCTTCTCTTTTGGAACATGTGGACTGATATATTCTGAATATATATATTCAGAGATATATGTACCATAATATATAATATAATATAGAATGACATGTGTGGGGACTAAATGTGTAAAACTGTTGCCAATATAGCATCAGTCAATATAGGACAGAAAAACAAAACAAAACAGAATACATAATTCTCTGTTATTTATTAATTCTCTGAAGAATAAGCTGCAACGTAGACCAGATTTTATGTGGCAAATCTTCAAGTAGATTCCATAAAGAATATTTTGTTTGATCATCCTTTTTTTACACTTCTTAGAAAAGTTAAATTAGATTTGATTATATGTGACCCTGGACCACAAAACCAGTCATAAGGGTCAATTTTTCGAAATTGAGATTTCGAAATAATATAATAAATAAATCAGCTGAATAAGCTTTCCTTTTATGTTATTGCTACAAATATACCCCAGCGACTTAAGACTGGGTTTGTGGTCCAGGGTCACATATATACTTAGGGTTATTAGGTAGCCCCACAGCACATCATAAACAACTCCAAATAAAATACAACAGAAAACACAACCCATCATTAAAATAGTTCATTAAAATTGACAATCAATTTGATGTTTGACTCGTCTATGGGTTTCATCCTCTGTCCTCACTGAACTGTGCCACAGACAGATGTATAATTAATGTTTAGTAATTGTTACATAAAACAATGAAGTCATAAGGGCCTAAATGAAAAGACAATGATAGATAATGATTTTATTTGCATAAATGAAGTTATATAACATAGATAAACAGTGGTCTACAACACTGATTAAGCACCGAGTAAGGCAGGACAGTGTAGCGTTGCATAACATGGCAGATGGACTTGATAAGATTAATTATGTCTCAACTAAATAAGACATGATGTTTTCACGCAGAATTCACTCTTACTCTGCTTGGATGAGTGATTTCCTAAAGATGCTTGACATATTTCAACTGATAAAGAAACCATTCTGCTTAATCCTTGACAATTTTTACTATAGTTTACAAAATGTCTCAGCGGAGTATTTGCCTTTAGTAGACAATGACAGACAAATTTGGAGAAAAATAAAAAGCAGGCCATTCTAAAATCAGCTTGAAATAACAGTGCAAGAATATAAAGTAGCTTGTTACACAATATCAGGCTTTGTTTAAAGGGGTCATATGATGCTGCTAAAAAGAACATTATTTTGTGTATTTGGTGTAATGAAATGTGTTTATGCGGTTTAAGGTTAAAAAAACACATTATTTTCCACATACTGTACATTATTGTTTCTCCTCTATGCCCCACCTTTCTGAAACGCATCGATTTTTACAAAGCTCATCGGTCTAAAAA